CCCCTTAAAAACTCCCCCCCCCATTCCCACCCATCTTCTTCCTCTCCTCCGCCCTCGCAAACTTCCCCAAATCCAGAACGACCATCCTCTTCGCTCCATCAGGGGGCTTGGGCGCCGTCCGGGGCCGATCAAACTCACTCCACTGGATTAGATATTCCTCCTCCCTCTTCGCATCACTTGTTTTCTTGATATGAAGTGGTGCCGGGGCAGCAGAAGCTCGCATGGAGACCCGTTCGTTCCAGCTGAGACTGGAACTGGTCATCAACTCCGGAAGGTCAGGAATTTTAGTGGGCGAGGACTTGGTGGGGGAGGATTTGGCAGAGGGGAGGTTGGAGGCGGGGAGGGTAGATTGTTGTGTAGCGGTGCTGGCGCGGAAATCTAGGTTGATGGCTGCGAAGCCTGCGTCGTCGAATTTTAGCGCTTCTCGATTCAGCTCCCGTAGGTTTTCTGAGCTGCGTGGGATGATCATTCGCCCGTTGACCTGCACTGGCAATGGCGGCAGGGGGGGTAATGAGTCCCCATTTCCATCACTTAATCGTGCTCCCGAATTCGATTGGGGAACCTTGACGGCTGAGAAGTCAGGAAGACTCTTCTTGCCCAATAACCTCCTCACATCCGGCGCTGAGGTACTCGTACTAACCGCCCTCTGCCTTGAAATTTCAATGGTCGATCCCGAAAGTCCGACGATCTCAGAAGACGACCGCGTATGTTGGAATTTCGGTCGCAATGTCGTCGGGGATGCTGATCCAGACACCAAACCCGTCGTGGGTGGGACCGTTATCGAACCCGAGCTCCCAAACCCCCCACCATGACCGATCGAAGCCTTTCTTCTCAAGCCCAAGAAACTGGTGAGGCTCTTCTTCCTCTTGGGCCCCACACCATTAGGCGGTATGCCATCCCTCTCATTAGATAGCGAAGACGGCACATGCCATGGCCTGGTGAGAAAATCGAAGCCGGACTTTTTAACCGCTGGTTCCTCAATGGGCTCTGGTAATGGTTTATGATCGGGTCGGGAGAATCCGGGAGCTGTGGGACTAGATAAGCGACGGCCAGGAAGGAGGGGACTAGTTTTCGGACCTGGAGCGTATTTGTCGGGGGATGGGATGGTGATTGAGGGGGGTGGTGCCTTCATAGGGGTACTCTTTCGATTTGTGGAGATGCCGTTTGTTGTCTTTAACCCGCCTGCGTTTGCGGCTCGCTCGCGGAAGGAAAGGGGGGAGTGGGGTTTGCTTGCTTCCGAGGGTGGTGGAGATAGAATGTCTTTATCAGAGGTGGCCCCAGTGGCGGACTTCTTAGGATCATTATGATGAGTGAGTTCAGGGCTATTCGGTACCAGAAACGTTGAACTTTGTGGCCATCCATCTACACTGGTATTGGCGCTACTCGCTGTTTGTGGTCGATCACTGCAAGAAGAGCGAGCTGCACTGACACTACGGGAATGTCGTGACGAGGAAGTTTCATGGTAGTAGTCGATTCCTTCAACAGCTTTGGCTTCGCTAATCATGGTGTCGGCCAATGAAATATACTCCTCGAGGTGTTTTCTGGTCCCTGACCAACTGTGTTTGGCTTTCGGCTCTAAAAGCTTCTGGATGAAGTCCTTGACAATACCTGACCCTTTGGCTTCTACGGCAAGGATGTGATGATAGAATGTTGTTCGGTACTTGTTGATTGTCTTGATATCAACCTTGTCATTAGGCATCTCTTTCATAGCTGGCGGAAAAAGCGTATTTAACATCGCAAGAACATTTGGCTTATAGAAGGGTGTCGATTGCAATTCATACGCCATAGTCTAAAACACAGTAAGCCTTTATCCCAAGTCTCGTATCAAAACAACAAACCCAGATTCGTAGATCAACATAACAAGCTGCAAAAGAGGATTCGATCGCAAGCTCCTGTTTTTGAACCGATGAAACCCATCTATACGCCTCGGGTTCTTCATTGAGAATTGCTTTCCAGTTATTCTTATTGATTCCAAGACGAAGTGCTGCTTCCCGCAACGCAGTTCGTCTCGTACACTCAAGATCTCGTACATAATCCAGGCACGTCAGCGCTTGCGTAAAATCGGCTTTATTGTAATCCTCCAAGAAGACCTTATTCAAACACACATTTCGGATGAAATGGGTCGGGAAGCCAGACGTTCGACGACCCATACTTGATCTATGTATTGACGAAGGGTCGTCCGCTAAATTGACATCGAAAAGGAGGTCGTGATTTGAGACCATGAACTGGTCGAACTCGGAATTTTCGGGGCTTCCAGCATTGTTCAATAATTCTTCGTTAATCTCCGTAACCTCTGATATCCTTTCCAGCTTCCTACTATTTTCCTTTGGTTCCTTCACTGGTGGTGCTTCGCTCCTCGGCTCTGATGGTGGTAATGATGCGAGAAACCGTATTATCAGTTTTCCTTTTGGTTCATATTGCCACCACTTATGTGCTTGCTGAAGACTGGGAAGTTGTTGTCCTATGGTTACAGATTAGTATGGTGTCCATCATGCTAATTTTCTTTTTCCTACCAGCATTGAACGTAAACATTATCCGTAATGGTAACTCATCCGAGCACTCCTTTTCCAATATATGATGCAAGATCCATGGGAACGAAGTCGAGTGTCCATCCATTAATGATTCCGGAATAGTTAATTGCGAAGAAGAAACTTGTGGTGATGTAGAGTTGTCTTGCCAGTCAAAAAACGTGGCATTGTTGGAGAATGAAGTCGAGCCATGACTGGCAGTGCTTGACATCTTGATCCAAGGGTTATCGTTAAAGCAAGCTCATCCAACTGAAACAAAACAAGCCCGCGAACTCCTCTTCCAAATGATTCCAGAAAGTCACGATGACAACAGCTAATACGACTGGTTTGTACGTCTGATATAGAAAGATGACGATGCAGATCGGAACTCAAAAAGAGAATTAGAGGGCAGAAGAGCTTTAATAGCCTTCTAGAATTGTTTCATCAGCTTGTTGTTGACGGGCATACCCTTTGTGGGGATCTTTAGCTGCGGCTATGTGAGGTTATATGAGGAACATACCAAGTTAAACCCGAAAACTCAATACAAACAATCCTACCACTGCCTTCGGCTCTGCTAGGTGCCGCTATACTGGTAGAAACAATGTAAACACCCGCTCATTGCAAACAGGCGGGGAAGTCGATATTGAGAAGGAGCGGAAAGAACGATTAGAAGAGACCGACCGAGATCAATGGGGCAAGACTTGTTGATAAAGCTTCAAGAAAGACATAGCAAGGGGTAGCGGGTATTTTCCTCGGTATTTTGAATTGCCTTACCCTACGTGTCCCCGAAGAATTTCCCACAGACAATGGGAAGACGAGGGTTTCCATCTTTTGGTAAATTGTGTGCAGGCTGATCCGGGTTCGTGGGACAAGGATGCTGTGATAGGTCAATGGGACTCATTTCGATCCACTATCAAAAGCTAATGCATTAATATCATGCAATATGACCGTTGGGTAACCTTGTATTCTCCTCTTTTCTATCCTCTAGCCACATGGGAAAGGTAAGGAGCCATCAGCAAATCAGACCTTCGAGAATAACCTTCCTAGTGCTGGTCTACCTGAGGACGATCATGCATCGACTCCACTTGCTTCGCAGCCGTTGGGTAGCGAGGCACCGTGAAGACTCGGGGTTTAAGCCGGGCTGTCCGTAGGGCAAGATTTGAGACATGACAGGGGCGAAAGAAAACAATTTTCCGAAGAAAGAAGGTGGATTGTTTGCCATGGAAATGTAGAAATACAGACTTGGACGCCAACTTTCACAAATCGGCATGCTTGTACTGTACCCAGCTTCTTTGGCAGAGCATCAATCTCGTAAAGGACGATGATGCAACAACGCAACGAGAAAATGTTTCTCTTTTGTTGTCCCTCTTTCATCGCCGTCTGAGCGTTGGGATGCTGCGGAGATGTAGCTCTTTCCATGGTGCACACTGACACTCGAACCATGTGTTGTTTCGTCTCGCAAATCGCCAGAACTTCAAGGCTGATTGTCGGTTGATAAATCCAAGCATGGGGATCGAATATGAAATGAAAACAAACGACCTCGGAGCGTACGCTACCCCACGCCAACAGGCCACTCTCAACTACAGTACTTCACCCGTGGAGCTTGGATACAATATTGTTGTTTGGGCAAGATCCAGGTTGGCATATCTACAAAGTGAGAACCTTTTTTGCAGGCCGAGAGCGGGTTCTCGGACGGTCTACTGGTACAAGTGGTCGACTGCATTATGTCTTGGCCACCTCGGCGACCATCGGTAGGAGAAGGGTATCACATATTACTTGGTAATGTTTGCTGTTTAGCTGCGATTCTGTTTTTAGGTATTTCTAGTCGTGCATCCACTCATTCCCCAATCATAAGGTTGATTTAGGGTTGATGTTGATTCTCTGGAGGAGAACTCTGCGACGTGCACCACTGCTTGCTTCAAAAGATCGGGGTAATCTTACTCGGTAGCCCAAGGAGTGGGTTCGCACTTTCCTTTGAAGCCGACGATGTTAAAAGTAAGAATGATCTGGTGGCTCTGGGTCTCAGATTGCGGTGTCTCGTGAAGGATAAGCCTGAGATGGAGATGACCAGTTCCTTGTTTCCAAATCAGGAAAGCGGAAGCAATCACGACGGCGACGAATGCACTGGAGGACTATTCAAGAGGAGACCAGATTGGACTTCAGACACTGCACGGCTAATGTAGGTTCTTCCTGTTATGGGAGATGGCATTTATTGGAAGAGATGCGATGCGGAGGAGAGGAGAAGAGAGGGAGTGGAAGTACCGTGGAAGGTTGTGTTGTGTTTCGATCGTCTGAGCGATACATTTCACACGGTCTTCCACTACGGCCATGCACAGCGCCCAACCAGGCAAAATCCAATGAAGAAGCTCCGTATGGCGATGAACCATGAACCGTCAACATTCGTGGAATTGGTATCCCATAAAAAAGAGTACTTGCAAACACGATCCTCTGACACTGATTTGAGAATGTCGAGAAGCCCATGTTTTGTTTCGCTGACTCTTATGTCGATGCTGGACTCGGATACAAACAAGCTTGGTAGCATTTCCCCGGCTCTGGAAAAGATGATAGTCATCAGATGGGCACTACCGGGTTGACCTCTTCCATAGCAACGCACGTATCAACACACAAAATGAGGATCAGGATTTCATAAGCGGCAATTGCACGGGTATAGAGGTTTATTTATAGGTGTATCCCATATCTCAAACATTTCCAGCGATATCCACCTCTTTTGCGGCGTCACTCTTCCCACACGCCAAGATGCGCATACCCGCAGTGGAAAGTTCGCTGTACAAAGATGAAAGAAGCCGCCCAAGATGCTTCCATCGCGCCCCCAAGACCGCGACCAACATCACCACTGACCTAATCCAGCATCTCGCGCCTCGCCACCACGCCAGTCGCCTAAGCCTCAGCCTAAGCAGTGTGCGTGGGCCACAACAACATGATCATGCGGCGGACAGTCATCCCAAGGCGCATCTTTCGATCCGCTGTCGCGAGCGCCAAAGATACCCCACCACCACAACCACCACGCGTATTTGCCGCGAACGCGTTGTACAGAGCCACGAGGCGGACAGGTCCAGGTGGTGATGGCGTTGGACAGAAAAGTCGTAAGTCGCTATTTCTTCTTCGTCTTATTTTTCTGCATGAGGTCATCAAAACCCTCATACTTCTTCATCTCCGGAAACCCCTCATTGAGGGCTTCAGGTGCAAAAGAGCACCAAGCCCATCCACCAAACTGCTCCAATGGCCCCCCAAGCTCGAAGCAAACCAAGGCAGTCCTATAGTCTCATGTGCGGCAGAGGTCAGGTCGGCATATGCCATGCTTGCTATTATTATGTGTCAGATCTGAATGCCGGCAGCCTCTCATGCTCATGCTTATGCACCCCGGCTTCGCGTGCATTCTGCATTCTGCATTCTGCACCTGGCTACACTGGGAATAGAAGAAGAGCATGCTGATAATTGCTACTTTTGCTGCGATTTCTCGACTTGACTGGTGACACGGCACGTCATGGATCTACCCGTTGACTCATAGGCAAAAGAAATACTATCCCAACTGGGTTATTTGGTCTCACCTCAAGTGAGAGGAGCTTCCAGAAGGAATTATATGAACAACCTTGGAAGATTTGAAAGGTAGTCACGTGCATCCATGTCTTGATTCAGGCTATTGTGAAGACTCCTGGAATTTCAATCTCGAACACTTTTGAAGATGGGATAGGACTAATACGTATACAGACGAAACCCCAATTTCCCCCAGGAATCCCTCAGAAAGACCGTCTGGGAACGGAAATTCAAGAGACCCATCTCAAGATGACCAACAAAGTATCTCTTCTAAAATGCTGGAAGCAGCCGCGACGGCCTTTGCTTCCATAGTTGTCTTAGGCACGGGTTTTGCCGCAGGTGGGTACATGTATCACAAATTCTACAAGTGGATGGTCCTTCAAAAAATGGAGGGGGCATTTAGACCCGGTGATCCAGTTTTGGAATTAGCTGCTATTGGAAAGCAGATGCCCAATAGCATTTCTTCAAGTAGAGGACAAGATGAGAATGATGATCACTGGATTCATCGTGATGAGCAAGAGAAGATTGATGGGATTGTTGATGGGTCGATACGAGGACATTACCATCTTCTGATTGGCGAGAAGGGAACGGGGAAATCGAGTATGCTTCTCGATGCCATGAAGAAGGTTGACGGAGAGGGAATTAGTATGTTCGAGGCCCATGCTGATCTTGAAATCTTCCGGATCCGTCTGGGAAAAGCTCTTGATTTTGAGTTCCATGAGGATTATATTGGTTCCTATTTCTCGGAACGGGGACCAAGAGAATCAACTGCATTACTAGACATAGAAAGAGCCTTTAACAAACTCGAGAAAATCGCCCTGAAACGAAGGAAGAACGTCGGTCGTCCCCTTATAATAATCATCAACTCTATCCATCTCCTCCGCGACGACGAAGACGGCCGAGACCTTCTCGAACTCCTCCAACAGCGTGCCGAACAATGGGCCGCCAGCAATCTCGTAACCATGGTCTTCAACTCGGACGACTTCTGGGTCTACGAACGTCTCAAGGTGCTAGCTACACGTATGGAAGTCACCTCCGTCACCGACTTACCTAAGACTCAAGCTATGTCCGCACTCTCCAAGTACCGCCAGAAATACTTCAAAGCAACGCCCACGTCCGAGATTCTCACTGAGGTATACGATCGTGTCGGAGGTAGGTTGACGTTCCTTAATCGCGTAGCGAAGTCGGATAATATGCTTGAGACGTGCGATGAGATAATTGAGATGGAGAAGAGGTGGTTCCTGAACCATTGTTGGATCCTGGGAATGGAAATGGACGACGACGTGATGGATCAGCAGAAATTCGCTGTATGTCCCATTCCTCCTCTTTTCCCCTTCCATCATGTAAACTAACCGCATCCTTCAGAGCGCAGCAATGGTTCTAGCCCTAGCCCTCGTCCGCGCTGAAGAAGAAGAATCCCAATCCCCAACCGAACCCTCAACCCCATCCAATTGCTTCACATCCACACCCTCCATCCCCCACGACGACAAGTCACCCCAAATCCCGCAGATCGCCCTCCACAAAGCGCGTCAGATCATGACCCGCGCAGACTTCATCCGCCAATACGACCACGTGAATCTCTTTACCATCACTTCTTCCGCCTTCGTACGCGCGGATTCGGTGCCGATGCAACGCGCTTTCCGGGAGATTTGTAGTGAAGAAGGCTTCGAGACGTTCCTGGAGCAGACTTTGAAGCGGATTGCGGATATTGAGTCCCTGGGCAGAACGAGGGAGATTGTTGCGAAGGATTTGGTGCTGGGTGGGAAGTATGTTATTGATGGACTAGGTGGGAAGCAAGGTCTTGGATGGGGTGGGGAACGGGGTGGGAAGGGGGTGCAGGTTAAGCTTGTTGAGAAGGAGGGGGGAGATGNGAAGTATGTTATTGATGGACTAGGTGGGAAGCAAGGTCTTGGATGGGGTGGGGAACGGGGTGGGAAGGGGGTGCAGGTTAAGCTTGTTGAGAAGGAGGGGGGAGATGGGGATGAGAAGGGTGGTGATGGGGATAAATGAATGGTTTCTTGATTTTGGGTCTTGGGGTAGGGTATGGATGGGATGGAGTAAGACTGCATGATGGGTTGTATGAAAATGGATGGATGGCATTGAATCGTACTGAATGGGATGGGATGGATTGGGGTAGTAGGGTTGTAAGATTATAAAATGTTTGTATTTGTGCCTGGTGTAGAAATATGTTACGACTAGATGTACGAGTACAGTAGATAAAACTATCATTGCAGAATTTTCCTTTGGCAAATCTACGCCTCTAGTTCTAAAAGATACCTAGTGAGATGATAATAAGAGAACGAACATCATGCATGTAGTTGTTTGTCTCGCTTATTATTCACTAGGCGCTTCTCTAGACCACCAAAACACGAAAACACGTGAGGTGCACTTTCCGTCAGCAGGACATGCGCAACACTGATGAAATTTCCGATCTGGTCCGCACCTTCTCTCCCCGCTGCCCAATTCACAACGACGCTACCTCAATTGACAGTGCACCACCTACACAACAGGCCTACCCTAAGACACCCCTCCCATCTTTCTCTTTCGCAAGAAACCCTGCTTGTTCAATTGTTCAGAGAAGAGCCATGGCTTGCCATTGACCGATTGGATGTAGCTCCCTGATCGGAAACCGATAACGATACGATACGACACAAGACACCATCCAAGCGCATGCGCATTCATACCACCAGCGCCCGACCAGCACCCGACCAGCGTCTGAGGCAATTGGGGGACTCCAAAGGTGGAGAAGAGCGAGGATATCAATTCATATCGCATAAGCAGATAGGATGGCCAGCTTCGGCAGCTACCTCATCCCCCGCGTCGTAAAGGGCCTCTTTAGCTCATCACAAGCTGGCCCGGTAGAGAAAGATCGCATCCCTGATTCCTCCTTTACTGCATCCACACCTTCTCGAATCCCGCTCCCGGTTTCGAAACTGAATTCTCCTAGGAATGGTGCGATGAGCGGGGAGAGGGTTGATGGTGAAGGGGATGTAGATATGCATCGCGACTCTGGAGATGAGCAAGTCCCCGAACCGGAATCCGTGAAGCGGAAGAAGAAGAAAAAGAGAATCTCGAAAGGGAAAGAGGTTGAAGATACGCAGATGGGTACTGAGGAGGTTGTTAGGGTTGAGCCGCCGCCTATACTACCTGGTCATACGAGTACGGGCAAGAAACGGGTTTCGCAAGCTGGGGTGGGTGCTGTGCAGGAGGAAGCTGTGGCCGATGAGACGCCTGTGAAAGCTGCGCAACCGAAGGAGCGGAGTAAAGGGCAGAAGAGAGCTTCGAAGGGTGGGGAGGAGGAATTGGTGGACGGCACGACAGTTGCGATGAATGGTCATTCACAAAATAGCGGCATGACGAATGGTGCTCTGGGACTGGAAGGAGCTAGAACTGAGCCTGAGATTGATGACACGCCTACAGTCAAGAAGCCGAAGAGGTCAAAGAAGAAATCATTACCGGTGGTGGAGGTGGAATCAGAGATTCAAGACGCAGAGGATGTTGTTATGGATGATGCACCAGCAACCCAAAAAGGCAAGAAGCCCAGAAAGAAGTCGTTACTCTCAATGGAGGTCGGATCCGAAATCCAAGAAGAGGATGCTGTTATGGATCCGCCTGCAACGAAAAACGCAAAGCAGCCAAAAAAGAAGTCTTCGCCTGTCGTTGAAGTAGGACCACCTGAAGAGGATGAAGGTCCAATAGATGATCCACCAGCACCTCGCGCGAACGGCAAGGCACGCGCCCCAAAGAAATCTAAGGCAAAGGTTAATATCACGGACACGAGAGCCCCGGGTCCTGAGGGAGTTGAACCTGCGGTTGAAGATATTCAAGTTACGTCGAACTCCGAAAAGAAGAGGACGAAATCTACGAAGACCTCTGTGGCCATAGAAGAGAAATACGACCAACAACCAGAACCTGAAGACGAAGAAGATGGCTCTACACCCAAACACCCCTCTGCAAAGGCGCTCGGAAAACGAAAAGCCACGGAGCCAATCTCACAGAAGGTCCCGAAGAAGCGTAAGGGCTCGGCCGAGCAGAGAAGGAGCTCTGGTGTTAGTTTGTTGGACCTTGGATTTACGCAAGAGCGTTCTTCTCCAGTTGAGAGGCCATTATTTGTGGATGAATCAGTACAATCCTCAAAGAACTTGGCCGACATAACTTCCACAGAGGCCGCCGAGGAACAGGAGCCACCAACAGAGCCCAAAGCTGCCAAGTCAAATACAAGACGAAAGTCAAAGGCCAAGACCCCAATCATACCCGGATCTAGTCGACCATCTACTGCTACCGGCAAGAAAAAAGCACCTCAGTATACACGAGCAAAGAAAACTGTGAATTCTGCCAACCGTGACGCAGGCCGCTCCGACGAAGAAGATGCCGACTCGGATGATTCTCTAGCAGCAATCCCCCAACCTACAAAATCCAGCCCGAAGAAGAAACGTCGATTACTGGTGGATGACGACGACGAACCAGGTCCTTCAAGTGTGAAATCTAAGAGATCATCCCAAGTTCCCGCGGAAAAAACACCAAAAGAGGAAAACGAAAAGCCACAGCGAAAGGGCAAAATCACCGACGAAGATCTTCAGTCCATTTTGGATGCTGTGAATCTGTATCGGGATATGCATGATCTTACCGATTACCAAATGGCCGAAGTAATCCAACAGACTGGAGAACTCTCCGACGAGCACAAATCTTTCTGGAAAGAAATACGGGGGGCTGTTCCTAAGCTTCCCAATCGCAAGGTTTATGAAACATGTCGACGTCGATTCCACAATTTTGAAGCTCGTGGCTCTTGGACTGAAGAGCAAGATGAGGATCTCAAAAGAGCTTATGAGAAACATCCTCAAAAGTGGAAAGTGATTGGTGGCATAATCAATCGATTTCCTGAAGATGCTAGAGATCGGTGGAGAAACTATTTGGTTTGCGGTGACAAGCTCCGAAAGAATGTCTGGGACAAGGAAGAAGAGGACAAACTTCGGGCAGTGGTCGCTGAGTGCATCGAGGTTCTCAAGAAGGCACAGGGAAAGGGCGATCGAAAGAAACCACTCCAGTACTGGGAAGATCGGATAGAGTGGTCTATTGTCAGTGCAAAGATGAACTTGGAGCGAAGTCGTTTGCAATGTATTGCCAAATGGAAGCAAATAAAAGACCGCGGCGACTCTGAAGATGAACACCTCCACGAGATTAGTCAGTCAGAATGGCGAGAGGCAGAGGCAACTCGCATAGCTCAAGATATGGGTGCTGCTGAAGTTCTTAGACTGCTTCGACTGATTCGCGATAGTGGTGCTGGGAAAGAAAACAATATCCCTTGGGTTCTCATTGTAGAGGAACTGGGCGTGGCCGGCAAGAATAGACGTATGGCTTACAAGGTTTGCTTGCGGAAGCTTAGAGCCAAGATTCCCAATGGCGAAGACATGAAATTTCGGGAAGCTGTGGAGTCTTTGATTAATGTGTTTGAAGCTGTTCATCCTCGTTACCCGGAAGCCTATAGAGACCACGAGGTACTCAAGGAGGTTAAGAGAAGAAACCGACCTTCGAAAAAGACTATGGAGGGCGAGGAGACGGATGCTGATCCAACAGACCAGGTCCTGCAAGAAGCCGCGGGAGACAATGGAGAGGGATCAAGCAAGCAAAAGACAACGAAAAGCAAACCTGTAGAGGTTCCACGAAAGGGTGGCAAATCTACATCGCGCGACCCCCCGGCATCTGATGACGAGGAACCTGACACAGAGAATCATATGCCTCTTGGGTCCCAGAAACCATTCCGTGCACCAAAGTCCAAGAACAGACGACAAAAATCATCATTAGATGAGGATTCTGCAGAGCAAGCGGAAGAAGAACAGTCCTCGGAGTCCAAGAAGAAACCTCGCAAGACAGAATCCAAGGGCAAAGCAGCCTTGCCTCCTCTTGACGAAGAGGTTGCTGAGCCTTCCGTGGAAGTGGATGCCGAAGAGGACGAAATTCCTGCCGAACCATTGCCAAAGAAGTCGCGTAAAGCGAAATCGAAGGCTAAAGTTCAATCGTCACAACCCGGTGATGAGGAGCGTGCCTTGGAGGCCGACTTGGAGGAGGAGCAACGACAATCCTCAAAGTTGAAGAAAAATAGCCGCAAATCCAAGCCAAAGGCCAAAGTCGTGTCGCCCCCGGGTGATGAGGTCCCTGAGACCAACCCGGAAGCCGATCTTGAGCAAGAGCAACAAGCACCTCCGTCTAAAAAGAAGCCGCAGAAATCGAGATCAAAATCCAAAGCCAAAGTCTCGGCGCTTTCTGAAGAACGAGTTGTAGATTCCGATGCTGACGAAGAGCCGCAGCCAGCACCGACATCTTCGGTGAACAAACCCCGTAAGTCGAAATCCAAGCCCGACGTCGAGCCGCCACGATCTGATGGAGAGGAGAAATCCGAAGAAATTAGCCCAAAGAAAAAGAAGAGCAAGAAGCTTCGGGACCGCATGGAGGATCAAGAAGAGGAAGAGTCTAAAGAAGCTGTTGAAGGCTATGGATTTGCAGCTGACATGTCCGATAACATGTCTGACGACGATATAGATGATGTTATGGAGCAACTTAAATCAGCAGCGAAGCTCAAAAATCACAAGCCAAAGGATGCAGACGCTACCAGAGTCAAGGAAACGGCTATTCATCAGCAATACCTCTCTGTGAATAATGATGAAGAGGTCATTGATGCTTCGCAATTTTCTGAGACTGAGGAACAACCCGAGATCAATGGCCATGTTCAGCAGGATGTCGAAATGGTGGAGGTTGATGATAAGCCTCAGATCAATGATCATATCAGTGAGCAAGCATCGGATGCGCCAATTGAGGAGGATACCCCTCGTATCAACGGTCACACAAACGAGGAGGATTCAGACGTACCGGATGAGGAAGAAGACGGTGATGTCGCTCAAAGTTCTGACGACGAACCTGTTGTAAATGGCCATCAAAGTGCAGACGAATTTGAGACAGCACCCCAGGAGCTTGTTTCTCCGTCAATCTCTGCACACGAGGAGGAGCTTCCCGTTAATGGCCACTTGGGTGAGAGCGAACCCGAACTGGCCTCCCCAGAAGTATCTGATGTCGAAGAGAACCCACGAGAAGACGGGATGATCAATGGTAACACTGCCGAAGACTACTCTGACATTGACGATGACAGCAATAACTTCGGGTACAAGGCTAGTTTTGAAGATAGTGACACGTCGGATTACGATGCTGGCGAACAGCCACGAAATGCAACCACCACTTTTGAGAATCGACATGATCCCGAGAAAATGGACATCGACCCTCCCGTACTCGAAGTACCCAACAATCGAGCCCAGGATCTTTCTATTAGGCTGCAAGCTTCGCAAGCTATGCAAGCTATTCCAATCGGATCCCCTAGTCCTTCCGCATCTGTAGTAGTCAAAGTTGAGGATCTCTCTGACGCGACCTCCCCCTCTAGTCCTTTTGACTCGGATGACCATCTCGATGACCTTGGCGACAACCTCGTCGAAGAGCAAGAAGCCAAAATAGCGTTCCTATATCCAGAAGCGAGTGATGAGGAGGACGATCAAGTAAAGTCAAACCATGAAGTCGAAGCCAACGAAATGGACCACGAAGAGGCTGATGAGAGTGACAATGAGCCCGAGCATCTGGAATATAAGCGTCACGAGGTCCAACATGAGCAAATGTCGCAAGAATTCGATGAGGAACCAGCACAGATAGAAGACGCTGAATCTGATGGGGAGCTTATTTATGACGGATTTGCAGACCAACAAGGGGACATAGCTGGCGACAATGCAGATGATGAACTTGACGAAGGATTTGATGAGGGACCCATAGTTGAAGACCAGCTATTCGAGGAATCTGCAGTAAATGCTCCAACTGAGGAGGGTGAAATTGAATCAACCGACCAAGACCGAGGAGCCGTTACACCTGAGCCAGTCGTATCCCGGACCTCTCTTAGTCCTGATCTCGATACCCCTACTCGACCAGCTGATGATCCTACACGTTCCATCAGTCCCGACCTCGACACACCAGTTAAAGGCGACGGCCGCACACCAAGGGAGTTTCGCAAGCGAGTCAAGAAGATCAACTACGATGATGCTGCAGCTTTAGTCGAAGAAGTGGTGGAATCTTCTGACGATGACACCGTTCAACCCAAACGTGAGAAAGACAGGAAATCGGCCGTTGCAGAGAGCGCCTACGGACACGATTATGTCAATAGCTTCCCATCCTTCCACGGTTTCGAGAGCCTTAATCGGAATCATGAACGACCGGTTACGCCCCATGAGAGGAAGAGACGTGAGAGTGAGAGCTCGAGTGATTATAGTATTCCCGCTGAGGCTACACCGTTGCATGTTCGAGCGGAGAGGGCGTGGGGTGATGAGGAGGAGTAAACGTGACCAACTGTATGGCTGTTAATGACTTTATGAGGTGTTTGGGGGGCTTTTTTGATGGTTTTCTGCATGCATTGTTTAGGGGCTTTTGCTTTTGAGGAAGGAGTGTGTTTATATTTTTCGTGGAGGTGGTAGATGGGTGAGGGGTGTTGGGGGTGGTTTTACTGAGCTTTGCTTTGCTTGGTAACAATGTTTATTTGCAATTGGTGCATAGCATTGTAATGCATGGATATTCTGAGCATCATAAGGGTAGAAAATGGGGGATGAATGGGTGGATGGATGATAGTGTAGAGTATGTATCTTAATATAGATTTCACGACGTATAGGTAGGAATTGGGTTTCTCTTTTGATGCTTCCTTGTGGTGATTCTTTGATGGTGTGTGGAAATGTGTGGAGATGTGTGGCGATGTGTGGCGATGGAGATGGAGATATAGAGGTAAAGTAGGGATAGAGGAGGGTGGAGGAAATGAAGATTATATACTGTAGGAAGGGTTGGGTTTATGATTGTGTAGTTATAGCTATAATAATGATAATACCTAGAGATTTGGGATACTACCTAGTAGTGTGTATAGTAGTATGTAATATCCTAGATGATATAACTTATAATAGATTAGATTAGATTATAATAAACAACGCTTGGCAAAAGGAACCATATTCTATGGAATTCTAGGTAGAATATTCTATATGGAATACTTCTAGAGCACCTATAAAATGGAATGTAATACTTCTATCGATTCGTCTCTGGAATTCCAGGAGTTGTATGGAATTCCAGAGGCTTTTTCTAACTAATTAAAACGTAGTATTTTGGAGTCGTTTTTACCTTAGTGAATAGTATAGATATATCTATTATTAGATTTAAGTGAATAGAGACTACTTATATTAAGACTCTTTGTAGTACGATATACGTAGTCTAGGTAGGGTAATAAGGGGGATATTCACGTAGTAGTAGTAGTAGTAATAGTAGTAGTAGTAGTATTTTTATACCGGTAGTACGAAGTACCGGATTAAGCCGGATTTCCTAGGCCTCTCGAAGGGTATAAAGGCGTACTAAGCTATAGATTTTATATATAATATCCTATTCTAATTAGCTAAAAACGTAGGTAGCTAAAAATATCTCCTAGAGTAAGCCCGAGTCTTTAATCTCGCGGTATTATAGTACTATTATAAACTAGAGAAAGTATTTTATATATAAAGCTATAGCTAAAAGGTATATTGTGAGGGCGTGAATGTGGCTCGGTATAGTGTTTTGGTGCTTCGCTTAGTGAATGCAATAGTGGGTTGGAGTTGCCTAATCGGAGATAGTATGGAGCTGCCTAATGGGGAATAGCGTGGCCTCTTGTTGTGTATAAGTAATAGCTAGCTCTAGGACTTCTTAGCTGACTCGCGATCAATCTCAACCATATTCTGGAACAGTCTTTGTACGCTCCTAGTGATACCCTGACATATATCGAGTATTCTCCTCTACTTTGTTTAGGAAGAGAACGATTATAACGTATCTAATAGAAGTAAGATAAGTCGAGGACGAATAGTCTTAATAGCTAGCCTCGATGCAATCGCTAGCGCACTCACAGAAGCAATCACGTCAGCTGCGGAAAAGGCAATTCCAAGAGCATATACTGGAACCTTCTCAAAGCCATGGTGGACGCCAGAGTTGAAAGAGTTAAGGAAGAAAATGACAGCCAGGCAACGCCAAATTACACTACACGAACAAACGTCAAAGACGGAATACGTGCGAGCTCGAAACACCTATTTCGAAGTACTCAAAAGAACTAAAACAGCACACTGGAACCATTTCTTAGAAAGAGAAGACCCGAAAGCAATCTTCAAGGCCATGAAATATACCAAAGACGGGAAAACACAGAGAATGCCACACATCAAAGATCAGCAACAGAACCTCCAAACCACATTCGAAGGCAAATGTAAAGCGTTTAGAGAAACTTTATTCCCCCCACCACCCACGGCTACTAGCGCAACATGGACCAACTACACGCCATGCAATAAGTGGGAATGGCCTGAACTCACAAGAACTGAATTAGAGTACGCATGCTCTTCAAATATCCTATCAAAATCGCCAGGGCCAGATGGAATCACACAAGACATCATTACTAAAGCCTACGAAGCTATCCCTGAAACCTTCTTCTGTGTCTACGCTAGGATGATTAACACAGGGTACCACCCCAAGTGCTGGAAAGAAGCAACTGGAGCAATTCTACCAAAAGCCAACAAAGACGACTACTCCCACCCTAAATCCTACCGAATCATCACTCTCATGAATTGCCTAGGCAAAGTCGCTGAGAGAATTATAGCACAACGCCTCAGCCACCTCGCAGAGACCACAGACCTCCTCCAC